TGTGAATATGACATGTTGCGATTTCACATGTCTATTATACTCGGCAGTATGTGGAGGCGTTAAAGATAAGATAGATACCCTAACTTAAACAAATTATCACTAGCAGTTGCTGACATAGCCTAGTATACCACATTTGCTATGAGTTTGGACCACACAAGTATTGCAAAATAAAGGGCATAACTCACGAAGTGTGGGTTCAAGGAGCCGTGGTTTTTTTTTTTTTTTTGAGATTGAGTTGGTGTTTAGTGTACCAAGCTTTGGGCACAAGATCAAAAAGAATGTAAGCCATTCTTAGTGAGATGTACTCCAAGATACAAAGAATGACAAGAAGAATCAACGAAAATTCTATAACATAAAATCGTGAATGAACAAGTGCGAGAAGAATTCTCAACTTGATCAGGATGTTAGGAGTGAAGTAGATAGGTGTCACTTTCACCTTTATTGCAGATCTAATCCCATTCCACTGTTTCTCTCTGAAAACTAGATTACATAAAAAATGCTGCATATATGGAAGTAGTAATATAAACCAGTAAGGCAGAACCTACTAATACAACCAGTGTTACAACGGCGTATACAGATTCATGTCCGCAAGAAAGTATGCCCAGTTTCACCTGAACGAAATCCACAATCGAAAGCATCAAGAACACACATCCCATTACAGATCCAATGGCGGAGCCAAACAAGGCGTATTTGTGGTAAGAAGAGTCAATATCAGCTTTATGAGGGTCAGTTGCATCTAAATTGTTCAACAAGTTGATTGCCAGCTTGAGACTTTGGGCTATGAGTGAGGAAAAGAGAAAGAAACTGAACGAAATCACTTCGAAAACGATAAGTCTCCTGATTGTTTTGACGCTAGCGGTGCATGATGTCGGACTCCCGGCGCTGCCGGCAGCAGGCAGAGTTAGGGAGAAGCCTATGAAGATTGCCATGGTGAAGAGTGAGTTGACGTTCACTATGCCATCTAGGGCTGTTACATGGACGCTCGTCTTGGACCTCCCTCTGGCCGTGGTGGTGTCAGCGGCGGCGGTTGTAGGGTTCTGTGTGTCCAATGAAGCCTTTGATTGTGACTCAATTCTATATAAATCACAAAAGGAATAATCAGATCTTGAAAACAAGATTTAAATGAATATATACAGATGACTTCTCTATAAAAAAATTAATTTTTTAGATGAAACAATCATATATAGAGAGGAGAGGCAGAGGTACCCATCGATGGTCGGTGACAGCGGCGCCGGTGCTCCAATAGTAGAGTAATTTCTCGAGTTCCTTCGAGAGAGGTTATTTTTTGACAACATCTTGTTACAAAGATTATATTAGGAAATACTTGTAAATTGTAATGTGCAATGCATGCATATATTGCTACTTATATATATAGAGTTGAGAATACCAATACAATAGCAAGGAAAGTTGTTTAATAATATGTGTTTCATTAAAAATAATATTACTGTCTGAAGAGTGGAATCTCGCCAGAATTTTTCTTGGGATGTCATTCTTGACCATGCAATTTATCCTATTTTAACTTCAAGCCTGCAGGTCCCCATTGTGAGACCACAAATCTTGGATTTCAACAATACAATTTAGGGCATGTATGACGAAGTTTCAGATAAAATTTTTAGCAGAGGTGCTTGAAAAGTTAATAAAATTGTGAATTCCATACAATGTGCGATTAAGATTTAGCCTATGTTTGGTTCGAATTAAAATCTAATTTTAATCCAAGTCAAAGTCAAACAATCAATATTAACCACATATTTCATGGATCTCACAACTTTTCAACGGCACATTTCAACAACTTCTATTACAATCTACTAAAAATCTAATTTTAATTCCCACCAAACATCCATTTAATTTTGATCAGTTAAAAAGTTGATAAAATTTTGTTAAAGTTTTATCAAACAAGAAGTTAATTATTTCTCAAACAATGTCCATTTTTCCAATGTCACGATATACATGTCCTTACGTGTAATTCAAATTCATTTGTTTTAATTATAGATTACATACGTACATAAAAATTTATTAAATGAATGGAAACAAAGTTTTTATACCTCGTTAACCATCTCAATAACTGATATTTCGTTCAATGTGCTTGATATATGTCAAAGTACGCTCAAATTGAAGGTCTTGAGTTCACATCTTGCACGTTTCATGTTTTTCGTAGAAAAATCACATTAAAAAGCATGTCGAAAACTTGCAAGCCTTCACTATCCACTGGAATTTTTAAAATCAAGTTGTCAAGATATAAAAATTTCATCTTGAAACCCATGTGTTGTCCTCATTTGGCTAAGCTGGCCATAACAATTTGCTTTCCACATATTGTTGACACATTTCTACAAATTTTAAGCACTACCTACCAAACAAGTACTTTGATATAATCAAAACTCATATTGGAACTCGAGCCGTGCAGACAATAATGACCTAAGGGAATTTGTTGTTTTATCCTTTCATCTCCAACAACACATGCTAGCAACTATGCTGCGGAAAAATAAAGTATTTAACACGCAAATTTTTGTGGAATAACTTGTAATTAAATATATATGAATGAAATTTTTTTAAAGTAATTTCTGCGTAGTGGGGTTGTACCTAAAGTGGGATTAGCAGCCATTAATTTGTTGTCAAGTTCATCTGAGGCGGCTTAATCACATGTTTCCACAACTCATTAATATATTTTAAGTAAGAATTGATAAGGATTAGTTTGTGTATAATTTTCTTAGAAAGCATTTCTTGAATATTGACCTCGAAAACACATAAACGATGATAACTTAGTTCACGTGAAAAATGCTTTTCTTGAATCTCGACCTTAAAAAACATATAAACGATGATAACTTAGTTCACGAAGATGGAAAATGCCTTTCTTGAATCTTGACCTCGAAAACTCATAAACGATGATAACTTAGTTCGAGATCATGGAAAATTATTGTATAACTGAAATCGGAATAATAAACATGCAATAATGACAAAGTATAAAAACATATACTTTTATGGAGAAATTACAAGATTAATATCATCATTTGTAGTTACAAAGATACCTTTTGTCTCACCATCAAAAACATGGCCATCTGATTTCTTAATGGCATATCCATTTATTGACTACGCTACTGGTTCAGGGCTTGTCACGGACTTCATATGTACCTCATGAAGTCAGGTGAGGGTTTTATCGGAGCGGGGGGTTGATCGATGGTGGCTCTTGCCAATTTGTACCTTAACAAAGTGGTCCACGAGCTAGCTTTTTTACGTGTTTTCATCAGTTTTTATGTAGTTGAGTAAATTGTACTCTATTATTTCTCGCATATGATCTTGCATAACAATATCAGTTCTCTTCCTTCAATCAGGCCTCAAAGAAGGAAGTATTCGAGAAAAAATTATATTTTCTCTTCCTTTAGCTTTTATTATTTTATTGGGTGTAGTTTTCTCTGTCATCAGAGTTCCTAAAGCTGTTAAATGGTTCAAATTTGGGCTATGCAATGTTGAAATTGTGAAGATATCTAAGCATTCATGGAAGGGAGGATTCTTGGAAGGGACTATTCCACAACTAACTTTATCAATACTGAATTCAGTTGCTGTACGTAAATTGTCGACAGATCTTTTTCCAGAAAAAAGGATGTTTCAGCAAAGTCCG